CAGTATATCTAGACCCTGGGTTGATAAATTGAACTTGTCACTATTCTGCATTTCCATTCTACGATTACACTTGGTCGCAGTTTGGTGTTGTGTTTTAGTGTGCCAAGTTTTTGGCGCCGTTGCCGGGGACCCTAGGTTATTGTAGAAACGTGAATGTCTGTTACTCTAGCTTTTTCTTTACTGCATTCTCTCTCTTCCACCTTTGTGCCTTTACGGGTTGTGTTTGCATTCTGTGTGCAGGTAGTGCATGACCCATAGCCACTTTGGAGAACTACTGCCCTTAGACCACGAGCTTGAACGGACTTGTAGGAATTTCAAGCGAGCTTTAAAGGTGCGACTGGCTGCGGAGGAGGCTCTCGCACAACTGTACATCAACCAGGAGGAAGACATGGGTGAGCCACAAAAAAAATGATGTGGTTGTCCCCGATGAGCACACCATGGAAAATTACTGGACCGCCAGAGCTGCGGACATGAGGTCGCCCATCCAGCACCCTAACGTTCCAGCCAATAACTTTGAGGTGAGCACCTCTGTCATCACCATGTTGCGCGGGTCGGTGGTATTCCATGGAAAGGAGGGGGAGTGTCCCAGATCGCATTTACGACGATTCGATGAGCTCATCGATGGGATCAAGATAAATGGGGTACATCCGATGTATCCAGCTGAGATACTTCCCATTCACTCTGGAGGGGCAAGTCAACGAGTGTCTGGACACTCGGCCTCCAGGATCGATCACCACGTTCGTCAACCTGGCGGACAAGTTCCTCACCCGCTATCATCCTCCGTCAAAGACTCTGGACTTGCAGAAGCAGATTACCCACTTTGCCCAAGAGGAAGATGAAACCATTCGGGATTCTTGGGAAAGATACACCAGTCTTTCCTGAAGTGTCCCAATCATGGGTTCAATGATGCCTTAAAGGTGGGCACCTTTACCAAGCCCTCTTCCCAGAAGATAAGTAGCTAATTGACTCGGATTGCAGCGGGAACATTCTAACCAATATCCCCCCGCAACTGAATCTACTCTTTGAAGAGATGGCAGAGCAGAGATATGATTGGGGAACTGCCATGAGATCGAGACGAGCACCAGGTCGGGGTGTGCATGTTGTAGCCACCCAGTCATCTGAGTTGGTGCAGATGGTATCTAAGCTGGTTTCAGCCATTGATAGTCCTGGATTGGTTTCAGGGACAGGACAGCAGCAGGCAATGCATTGCCAGTGGTGCGAAAGCTCCCATCAACTGTAAAAGACTGTCAGGCGATGAGAGAGTCGACTACACCCTAGGAGAAGTTGGACTTCAATTGCAATGTCAGGCGTTTCGACCCTACAGCAACACTTATAACGAGGGGTGGCGCCAACATCCCAACTTCTTCTGAAGTGGAACTAATCCTAGGCCACCAGTCTCCCAAGGACCGCCAGGCTTTCAGAGACCTCCTTACTAGCCAAGACAAGGGCAATTCCAGCAATAACAACAACCTCTCTATCCGCCCAGACAGGGGCTAGTTCCTCCTCACTCACAGGTGAGGCCATTTCAGCAGTTAGGTGCAGCCCCCGCAGTCCAGTATTGAGCGATCTGATGGCCGATCTGCGAGATCTGGTGGGTTCTCTGGCCACCTCCAGTGTGAATAAGTTCAGCAACATCAAGCAGTTCATGGAGAAAGTCTCAGGTAAATTCTTGGAGCTTGAAGCTGGCAGAGAAACACGCAGGTTGTACTGCGGGATATCCAGACCCAGCTCGGGAGTGTGGCACCGTCTGTAGCACAGAGGGATCCGGGTACTTTACCCGGCCAGACCATTCCCATCCGCAGGACCCAAATGAACACTGCAAGGCCATTACTAATGAAGAAGAAATGGAGAAGGAGGTTGAGGTGACTGCGCATCCACCTGTCCGGGCACGACAGGAGAGAGAGACCCCTGCTTTAGCACTTCCTGCCAATGGAGAAGGAGGTTGAGGTGTCTACTCTTAAGCCGCAACCAGTAGTGAAGGAGTATGTCCCTCAGCTTTCCTTTCCTACTCGGTTGCACAAAGACCGACTAGAGACTGATTTTACCAAGTTCATGTCAATGCTGAAGCATGTGAACATAAGTATGCCCTTTGTGGAGGCATTATCGAAGATGCCCAAGTATGCCAAATTCATGAAGGATCTCCTCACCAAAAAGAGGAAGCTTGGGGAGCTGTCGACGGTGATGCTCAACGAGGAGTGTTCTGCCATCCCGTAGAACAAGCTACCAGTGAAGCGAAAAGACCCAGGGAGTTTTACTATCGCTTGCATGATTGGTAGTTTTCATGTAGGAAAGTCCTTGGTAGATTTAGGCGCTAGCATAAACGTAATGCCATATAAACTGTTTAAGAAGCTAGGCCTATAGAGGACTTGATAGTCGCAGTAGGGCCATTCTCATATCCTGTTGATTTTGTTATTCTTGATATAAATGAGGATGTGGACGTGCCTTTAATACTGGAAGTTGATTTTGATGGTTGGGGGGTGAAGAAATCACCTTCTCTGTTTTTGATAATATGAAACACCCCCAGCTCCATGATGATCTAGATTACTGAGATGTAATTTCTTATTTTGAGACCGCACTCGCCATCACGAGTGCGTGTACTGACGATTTCCTCGAGCGTTGTCTTTTGCTAGGGGAGCAGGCATCTCACGAGTTGCAGCTGGAGGAGCAGCTCGCGGAGATCGACACATCAAGTCAATCCCTATCTCGCCCCAGATCGCCACATCATTGGAGGAGCCACCAGAGCTGGAGCTCAAGCTCCTCCCCTTTCATGGAAGTCTTCATGGACGACTTCTCAGTTTAGAGACTCCTTCACTCATTTATCTCCATACCCTGGAACTGGTTCCGAAGAGGTGCGAGGAGACTAATCTGGCACTCAGTTGGGAGAAGTGCCATTTTATGGTTCGTGAGGGGATTGTGCTCGGGCACAAGATCTCTACGCATGGGATTGAGGTGGATCACGCGAAGTTAGAGACGATCATCAAGCTACCTCCTCCTGTTTCTATGAAGGGGATCCGCAACTTCCTGGGTCATGCAGGCTTCTACCGGCACTTCATCAAGGACTTCTCGAAGATTGCCCGGCCTCTGACCAAGCTGCTGGAGAAGGATGCACCATTCCATTTCACTCCTGAGTGCACAGATGCATTCGAGGCATTGAAGGAGAAGCTTACCCATGAACCCATCATGGTGACTCCTGACTAGTCTCTTCCCTTTGAGCTAATGTGCGATGCGAGTGACTATGAGTCAGAGCCGTTTTGGGTCAGAAACGCGGGAAGCACTTCCAGCTCATCTACTACACGTCGAAGACCTTTAACGATGCACAGGAGAACTACACCACCACTGAGAAAGAGCTACTTGCCGTGGTGTATGCATTTGACAAGTTCTGACCCTATCTGGTGCTCTCCCATGTGGTGGTCTACAAAGACCACTCCGCGATTTGCTATCTGATGAGCAAGGCTGATGCAAAGCCTAGGCTCATTTGTTGGATCCTCCTTCTACAGAAATTTGATATCGAGATCCGGGACAAGAAAGAAGCTGAAAATGTTGCTGCATATCATCTTTCCCGGTTAGAAGCCCCCCAGTGGACAACTCTGTGGAAGAGATCAACTACTCCTTCCCGGGTGAGCGACTGATGGCGATGACCTTGGTAGAGAGAGCGGCCCCTTGGTATTCTGACTTTGCCAATTATCTGGTGGGAAAGTAGCTACGGAAGGGGATAGCCACTCATGCAAAGCACAAGTTCTTCTCTGACCTGAAGCATTATTTCCGGGAGGATCCTTACCACTTCACGATCAGATCAGATGGCATGATCCGACGCTGCATCATGGAGCACGAGATGTGAGACATCCTGTCTCAATGCCACGAGGGACGTACTGGTGGTCACCATGGAGGGAACCGAATGCGCGAAAGGCGCTATAGTCAGGCTTCTATTGGCCCTCACTCTTCAAGGATGCAGACACCTTCGCACGACAGTGCGACCGCTGCCAGAGGTTAGTTAACATTTATTCCCGGGATGAGATGCTCCAACATATATCTGTCCTTTGTGAAATTTGTGATGTTTGGGGCATCGATTTCATGGGCCCATTCTGTAACACCCCGAATTTTGGGTTCAGGTTCGACCCAAATACGTGAACGGTTTAATTAACGGTTATGTACTAAGGATTGCAACCGCAGATTAAGAAGAATAATAATAATAACTATTATTATTATTAAAAAAAGAGGCACGGGCCAAGAGGGCGCTCGACCCTCATTGTTTTTCTCATCACCACTCCCCCACGCCAAGAATCCATCCGGATTCACTAAATAGAGAACCCTAAGAGGGAAAAAATCCGCCAGTAATCTGTTCCTGTCCCCAGCTTTTGCCTTTCTCTACTAACTTCATTGTTCAATAAAAAAAAATGCCTATGTCTATGGGTAACGGCTTACGCCATCCGCCATCAGCTGTCTCTTCATCCTAGAGTTTGGTTGTTTGATCGAGGATTCGAAACTCGGTCTACTCTTCAGCCCTTGCTTGCTTTGACATCCCGAAGCTTAGAGGTATGCGTTCGTCAGAACATCGTCTGAAACTTGGGAAATTAATTTGATTGTTGAGATCAGTTTGAGCATCGGGACAGTGTTTTCGCATGGCAAGTAACTAGTTGGCGTAAGTTGTTTTGGGAATTTGGATAGAACAAAAAAAAGATTGTTATTGCTTTGTTCATGCTGCCGCCTGTTCTTCCTCAATCCAAGTACTTCAAACCATTCTTGAATTATGATTCTTTTTCGCTTAGAATCAGTTCAAAGCTTGGGTTGGATTTGGATTGATTGGATAGATTGGTGTAGCACAATCAGAGGTGTATTTCATAGTCTGTTCGGCAAGAGCTCGCAGCAGAATAAATGGCGAACGATCGAGCATATGACGTGAAGACATCGGGTTTCGACAATGGACAACGAGCAGGGCGATCGAATTCACGAATTGGGATACTCAACTATATAAGGAAAAGGTGAGTGTAAAGAGGGTAAATTCTACGCCTTACGTATTCTTTTAAGTATTATGATTTTAAGTATTCTAGTGAATTGGTTACCATTGCTTGATTAGGTTTATGAGTGATTATTTGTGCTTTGCTTGAGCTATGATTTGAGGTGATTTTGTTTGAGCTATGGTTGATGTGAATGTGCATGAGTTCTTAGTTAATTTAAAGCTTTCCGTTTACAAGTTATTGTTAAAGTTAAGAAACAAGTTCTTTTTAAGAAGTAACTCACCTAAAAGAAGGTGAAGTCGTTTTAAGTGTTTTTAGTCACTAGCGCCAGTCCGTTGCCATTTGAGACATTCAGATAGAGCAGCACTTATGCTCTTGAGACTTTTAAGATGGGCAGCAGTTAAGCCGGATTGCAATTACCAAGTTCAGTTTCTATGATAGTTATACTGCGGAAGGTTCTTAAACAGTCTGAAGTCTCGACTAAAGGTCTCCAGACCCTCTCAATCTGAGTCTCTAGCGGGCGACTAACCTCCACCGGAGTAAACAGATTGAGGCCCTAACGAACAAAACCTCCACTACCGAAGTGAATTCGGTACAGAATAGTGAGTTGGCTCCTCAACTAAAGTCACCAACTCCCTACCTTCAATCAAGGATTCTCTATCAACCTAGGCAGATATTCTCATTCTAGGTTAAAGCAGAAACAACAGGAATTTGATCAGGATTCAAGCCATTCAATCATTCAAACCTCAATTAAATATAATCAAATCATAGAATCAGTACTTGGGTTCATACAATCAAACCCAACATACAAATCTAGGGTTTCCCATACCCAGATGAATGGGAGAACTACTCCATGGAGAAAGAAGCAAAAGCAGATTCAGACGCGGAAATCATACTGTGAAGGATGGATTTCTGCTCCTGGACGTTGATCGGCACTCCTCCAAGCTCAATCCAAGCTCCAATGGTGATGAAGATCAAGCTAGGGCACTTGGGAACTCTTGTTCGTCGCTTTCACTCTCTAGGAATCGCTCTGTCTCTCTAAAACTCGAATCCCCTTCTCTTTTGGCTGAAATCTTCCTAAAAGGGCATCACTGGGCAAAACACGGTCGAGGGCACGGCCGTGCTTTGCTCCAGCCCGCCCGTGCCCTTGCCACGTGGTAAATACATGGCCAGACTTTGGGGAAAACACGGGTGTGTTTGATGATGGACACGACCGTGTTCTGGGTCAGTTCCGCCCGTGTTTTGAGCTAGTGTTTGTCAGTCTTGGATCAAGCCTCGACAGTAAAAACACGGTCCAGGAACACGGCCGTGCTTTGATTTAGGCGTGCCCGTGTTTTGGCTCCAGCTCGACCGAATGACTTCCGAATGCCCCAAAACTCGTGCTTATCCTTTCCTTCGACATCTGGGACCTGAAATATGACAAAGTAGCACATCCCGGCGTAAAATAGGCAAAAAATACACGACTATGCCCCTCAAACGGATAAGAACTAGGGGTGCACATATGTGCAATTACATCATTATCAAATTCCCCCACACTTAACCGTTTGCTTGTCCCCAAGCAAACCAAGTCAGACACAAGGTAAGCTCAAAACGTTTCAATCAAGCATGCTTTAGGGCATATCATATCGGCACAAAACACATGGATCATATTGGCTTTCGATCATTAACACATGGACAACCTCAATGACAACCTAGACAACCACCACAGATGACATTCGAATGCAATAAAGTCGAGCAAAGGAAGAGTTTCCTTCTGTTCACCAACCAACATAGACTTGACTCAACCACATATTCGAGACAGTCACTTCATGCACAAAGCTCAAGATATCAGAATTAAGACCGAGCAATCTAGGTCCTCACCGGGATAAAGAGTATAGAGAATATGAGAAAATGAATCGCTCACTCTCGACCAGTGGGGTCGGGACAATTTGATGCAAAAAATGTGCATGCTTATTCTCTCAATCCCTAACGTCTCTTCACCATGAATGCAGCCTTTAAATGCTAGAGTTCACATATGGGGTGTCACCACTAACTAATCCGGAGGTCTTAGACATAGGTTCAGATGACTGGCTAGGGTCTTGGACATGGGGAAAAGGCCTTTTAGGTGGTGGAAGTATTCATAGCACAAGGTTCCACATTTCCAAACCCAACAAACTCACAGTCAATCAAACCAATAACTTTCTTTCTGCTATTCTGCATTACTCAAATTCTTCAGAGCACAAGAGCGAAGGAGGTCACATAAATGCTAGTATTTCTAAGCCAGACTGCTAAGAAACACTACTTAATGAGTACTATTAAGATTTTTGGTGGTGGCTCTCTTTTGCTTTCATTTTTTCTTTGTTTTTCTTTCATTTTTTTTCATTTCTTAAGAGAACCACCACCTCTGCACATTTTCAAACACCTGCCCAACTTTTTAAGAACTACCTCCAACTCTCACATTACATTTAGCAGAAACAGAAGAGAATATGTAAAAACCACTCTGTGGAACCTTCTAAGAGATGCAAAAGGGTGATTTTTTCATATTGACCGAAAGAAAGGGTAACACAAAGCTCAAAGGGGCTGACTAAGGGGTATGACACACCAGGGCAGTCAATTTGGTCGTGGGCTAATCCTATGCCTCCATCATCTTAGCTAATGACAACGTGAATGCTGCACATCATGGAAGAGGGAACTATCGCACAAGAAAGAAACGAGCAGGCTCAAGTCTCACATGGCTACCTATATGCTCTATCTCTTGTTCTGATTCCCTGAACTAGATGCATAAATGACTGTCAAAAGCAAGTGATCAATCCAAGTCACAGTTGGTAAGCAAACAGTTGAAAAACTGAACCCCTACACAATTCTACTACACATCTCAGTCATCATAATAAGTTGTCTTAGTCACACTCAAGTTGTCATGCATCAAGTCCAAAGCCATTTAATTCACTAATCACATCCATAGTGCCAATACGATCAAACATCAGGCAAACAGCAGTGCTTGGAGCCCTCAAATCTCGAGATTTGGACAGCGGACTAGGCTCCAAGCACACATAAATACGTTCCAATTCATACAAAGAACCCCCCCCCCCCCCCCCCCCCCCCACACACACTTAAATGCGACAATGTCCTCAATGGAGCAGAGGGAAGGGGAACGATGTTACCGTGAAAGGTGAACAGGAACGGGGACTAGAAGGCAGACCAGTCCAGAGAAGGGGTACCAATCCAAGGCACAGAGCTAAAGACAACAAAAGACACACACTGGGTGAAAGAACCGGAGTTCCAGGTCTACAATCCAAGATAAAAAAAACAAAACAAAACAAAACAACAAAAACATGGAGTCTCAGTCTGGAACACAAATGAGGTACAGAGCCAGCCACTCTCCACTAGAAAGCATCACCACCATCGCCGGTGGGTGGAGGGTACTCGTCCTCATACCCCGGGGACTGCACGAACGGGTAGTGGACTGCATTCGGGTCCAAGCCCAGGTAGGACATGATGTAGTGCTGGCCTGACATGAGACGACGCCCTCGGTCCCGCTCATGATCGAGGCGGGTGTGAATGCGCTCCTGGCCGGCCATGATGCGCTCGTTCTGCTGAGCGATGGCCGCCAACTGGTCAAAAATGGGCACCACCACTGGAGGAGGAGACCCGGGAGACGGAGATATGGGAGCAGGAGAGGGGCTCGCAGGAGCCTGGTCACGACGAACAGCACGACGGGTAACCCGGTGTCCCCCAGCTGCGCTCGACTCTGGCTGGTCGCCCGCTGCAGGTAGAGGTGGCTGAGGAAGGCCCGCGATCCAGTCCACCCGCCCGTGGCGAGCAACCATGTGCTGGTGGCGGAGGGTGGCCTCGCTGAGCGGGGTTGGTCCGTGGACCAAGGTCATCCCAGTGAAGTCGACCCCGTAGTAGCGGGCCAAGGCGGGGATCACCGAGCCACATACAAGGTTGCGAATTTGGCTCACGTTGGCTTTGGTGAACGTCCGGGTGAGCACAGAGCCCAGTTGGATGGTGTCCTCAAAACGACCCATCGCATGCATGAACCATAGTGTCCGGAGTGTGACCCGGTTGGACGACCCTTTGCTGGGTGTGTAGGAATTGGTGAGCAAGTGGTTGAGGATCCGCCACTCCGGACGGAGGAGAGAGGCTCGCGTCTGGCTGGCAATGTACTGTTCATCCACATGGTTCGGCAGGCAAATTCGCTGGAAGTAAGCCTCGTAAGCAAAGTCGGAGGGATCAGAGAGGTCCAAGCGGAGGGGCTGGTCGCTAGAGTGCGGGGAGTTGAGCCTAAGTGCATTGGCGAACTCTCAGTAGCTGACGGAGTGCTCCACCCGTCGAGTGTGAAACGAACATCATCAGCATGGTCGGCGGACCCCTTCGAGGCATGGCTGAAGGAAGCGTAGAAGGCCAGGTGTAACCAATGAAAGGGACTGCATATAGTGGCTCAAGTGATAAATATCGAATCCACGGGTCTCTAGAGTTACTATTACTCAGCTTCAGTTTATTATTTAGCAATCCAGATTAAGATGAAAAAACTAAAACTACTCTAGCAAACTACAGTTAAAGTTAATCTAATTACAGGTTGGGAACTCACTTAGGTATGATTCCCCCTAGCCACTAGCCAGACTAACGATTGATGATTTCTAACTTGTTTCACTTTCATTCACAATGCGGAGAATCCTTGACTAGACCTTGAGTCTCGACTAAAGGAACAAGGCCCTCCTGAGTCAATTGCCTAGAGGGACGTATCCTTCTCTAGAACAACTGATCAAGGCATTCTAAACTAGACTCCCTCTATCGAAAGAGGTTCTCAATCGATACAAAGCAGTGAATCAACCCTCGACTAAAGCAATCGATCCACTACTATCAATCTATGGTGCTCTATTGACCTAATCAGGTATTCCCTCTCATAGGATCAAAGCAGAATCAATAATCTCGACTAAAACAGAATTGAATCATGAAAACATGCATAGATTGAATATGAACTCAAGATTATCAAGTCAGAGTACTCATACAATCATCCAATCAAGCAAACATAGCTAGGGTTCCCCAAAACCTAAGTGAAGGGAAGTTACTCCATAGAGAAGAGAGAGACTGCAGTAAGAATCTTCAGATGATCAGTCTTCAAGTCCAGGCTTGTTCCTCGAGCTTCCAAGGCAAAGAAATCCTCCAATTCGACTCCAAGAATGCCCTCAAATCGCCCTCTCTCTCTTTGGTTCGTCCCTTGGGTGTTTGGGATCCAAAACCCAGCTCTCCCTCTCCTTTGGCTCGAAATTGGCTTAAAAAACCCTATTCTGGGCAAAACACTGTCGAGGACACGGCCGTGTTTTGCTTTTGCCCGCCCGTGTTTTTCCCCATGTTAAAAACACGCCCGCGCGCGTCAGCCAAAACACGGTCGTGCCTAAATATGGGCACGGCCGTGTTTTGATTTAGGCGCGCCCGTGTTTTTACTGCCGATCCTGTTCCCCTATATTCAATGCTTCGTTTCTCCCTCGTCCGGACTCCGGATCAGTCGCCGTTTGATCCCAGACGCTCATAGTCTCGTCCTCTTTATTTTCATGACAAGCTTGCATGATTATTTGTCCATAAAGTAAGGTAGAAATGCATTCTTCTTCAGGTCATGCCCGAGTTTCTTCTCCCGAATCGCCAATTGATCTCTGATTGACTTGAAACTTGCGCCTATGCTTCACTTTATGTGCTATGACCTGAAATGTGACAAAGGAACACAACCTAGCGTAAAGTAGGCCAAAGACGCGATAATTAAATCTCAAACGATCAAGAAACAAAGGGGAAAACATGTGCAAATATCGAGTCATCAAATCCCCCCACACTTAAGTGTTTGCTTGTCCCCAAGCAAACCTAACTCAAACCAATGCAGCTCTCCAGACCTCTATAGCAACATACAACCCCGATCGTCGGTAGAGGATTTCCTAGATCATATAGCAGCTTACGAGGTCAACTGGTCTTCTAAGATGTTCCCTATCTCTCTCAATGCGAGTACTAGACTCAAGCCAGGATCATGAGAAGAAGTAGAAGTAAGACAGTCAGTTCATGGATAAAGGGACTCACACCATTCACAACCAAGGACTCGTTGTACCGGGGTGCTCTTTCACTTCATTTCACCGTTGGAACCCCTTTTTCGCTTTCATTTTACTTTTTTTTTCCTTATTTCATTCACTTGGCGGGGGTTCCAACTGCAGTCTTTTGCACGGTCGACCCTTATTAGTCGAGCAAGAGCAATTTCTGCACACCTGGCGCTCGCCAGAGTACTTCTTTTAACTCCTTTTCCTCAACTCGTGTGGAGGGTCAATGAAATTAAGGGGGGTCGGAAGCTCTATCCGTGCCCTTAAAAACACATCCTCAAGTAGGCAAATCGTTCAACGGGTGGAAGTTTTACTTGTACTAGAGACAGCTTAGCTTCACCTTGTAGGAGTACCCCACTAAGGATCACTAAAATCTCTTCCAAAACCCTATTTGGTGCAATGAACGGTGCCGCACACGTTGGGCTTACCCCATGTTTAAGATTTTATGATTTTGACATGGAGGACCAACTGCTTTTCATTTTTCACATGAGCACCTTGTTCCATACACGAGTCCATAACACAATCCAAACATAGTCACCATTACCACATGAATTCAATGGTCTTAGCTCCACTAATTCACAAAATCAACTAGCACAACAGAGAGCTAGATAGGAAAAATCTTATACTTCAACATCCTCCATAGTGCTACACTACCTCCCTAGGTTGCACATTACTATAGAGACTGTCAATTCAAAGCATACTGAGCAAGCAATTTGCAAGGAAACACGTACTTGGAGCCCTCAAATTTAAAAATTTGGACAGTGGACTAGGCTCCAAGCACACAAACAGCCAAACATTCACCCGCATACATAATCGAACATCCCCCCACACTTAAGCACGACATTATCCTCAATGGAGGAAAGATAATGATGGTAGAACGAAGTTACCAGATCCAGGGTGAATGATGGTGGACGGGGCAGGCGGTGTATTCCAGGAGGAGAGAGTGGTCAGACCACAAACACCACACAAAATCTCACAAAGGTTGAGTTATTGACTCTAAAATCAAATAACAAAACTGACTCAACCGAGGAGAAAAAGAGAAAGAAATGCAAACCGACTGGTTGGGTTGCCTCCCAACAAGCGCTTCTTTCACGTCGTGAGCCGGACGATGGCTCCTAAGTTTCGGTCCACCCCAAAACCTCCTTGAAGTTGAGGTTCTCGTCAATGAGGTGGAGTCTCAAGTCACGAGCATGTGGTATGACAGGTGATGGAAGCTCGTGCACTTGATGCGGATGAAGTCTCCACCCTCGAGACCTCTTCTTCTCTTCTCTCGTCTCATTGCCCCAAACCAGATATGGCAGCATCGATTGACCACCATCGCGTCCACCAAGAGGGACCGATGTCGACGTGACCTTGGTATGGCAAAGAGACACTGCAAATGGATCCTTGCTAAGTAGTTCCTCGAAGTTTGGTGGAGATATCAAATGTAACTCATGGCCGGTGCAAGCCTCTTCCACCTCAACTCCGTCCTTAGCCAGGACGCCAATTGCTTATTCAACCTCCCTTCCTTGTTCATTTGGTATCACCCCTGGGAAACGATCAAGAACTCCTCTTGCTTCACTTTCAACATCCTCCACAACTTCTTTCTGCACCCTTTCTTGCTCTTCTTCTTCTTCTAGCACGGATTGGAGAGCAAGTTGCCAAGCCATTTTTTTATGAGATCTTCTTGCATCTCCTCACTCATGCCCGCCTCTTCAAAGCTTAGTTTGGGATGTGGGAAGGTGTGGTCGGCTATGATATGACATTCATGATCATGATCATCACGGGAGCTCTCCGTGACAACTTCAGTGTGCTCCACTATGTCCTTGTAGCCTTCTTCTTCCTCCTCCTCTTCTTGTATGGTAGCAGAAGGGTGATCTGGAGCAGGTTGTGCGAAAGATCGCTCAAGATCATCGGCGCTCTTCTTAAGGCTCAGGAGGATCTCCTCTATTTCACGATAAGCCTGGACACAATGATCCATCCTGTAGCATGATCTCTCACAATCTCGAGCAAACTGCTCCATGAGAAGCCTCAATTCATAGTTTGGATCTGGCTGTGGAGTGTAGCATGGCTCTGCAGAATGGCCCGTGAAGGCCGCCATGGGTAACTCCAGCGCCGATGGCCCTTCTGGTTGTGGGAGAAATTCTTCTTGATAATGAGGTTGTTCTTGATATGCCCAGGGGTCCGGTTGTTCTCCGTAGTAAGGGGGTTGGTACTGGAACCCGAATCCATAGTCTTCTCCTCCATTGATTGCTCCAGGGAGTCTCGGGGTAATACCACTCGGGTGGTGGTGGATACCCCCAATTGTTGGAGAAGCCATGAGGATCCATGATTCAGATCCGCATCAACAAAAACAAAAACACCCAAGTGAAAAGCAAGGGTGGAAAAGAAAAGAAAAACACTAAAGTAACAAACTTCTGCCTTTCCTAATACTCTAGAAAGTCCCCGGCAACGACGCCAAAAACTTGACTCTCTATGACACAACTCCTAACAAAGGCCAAGTGTAACCAATGAAAGGGACTGCAGTATAGTGGCTCAAGTGATAAATATTGAATCCACGGGTCTCTAGAGTTACTATTACTCAGCTTCAGTTTATTATTTAGCAAACCAGATTAAGATGAAAAAACTAAAACTACTCTAGCAAACTACAGTTAAAGTTAATCTAATTACAGGTTGGGAACTCACTTAGGTATGATTCCCCTAGCCACTAGCCAGACTAACGATTGATGATTTCTAACTTGTTTCACTTTCATTCACAATGCGGAGAATCCTTGACTAGACCTTGAGTCTCGACTAAAGGAACAAGGCCCTCTTGAGTCAATTGCCTAGAGGGACGTATCCTTCTCTAGAACAACTGATCAAGGCATTCTGAACTAGACACCCTCTATCGAAAGAGGTTCTCAATCGATACAAAGCACTGAATCAACCCTCGACTAAAGCAATCGATCCACTACTATCAATCTATGGTGCTCTATTGACCTAATCAAGGATTCCCTCTCATAGGATCAAAGCAGAATCAATGATCTCGACTAAAGCAGAATTGAATAATGAAAACATGCATAGATTGAATATGAACTGAAGATTATCAAGTCAGAGTACTCATACAATCATCCAATCAAACAAACATAGCTAGGGTTCCTCAAAACCTAAGTGAAGGGAAGTTACTCCATAGAGAAGAGAGAGACTGCAGTAAGAATCTTCAGATGATCAGTCTTCAAGTCAAGGCTTGTTCCTCGAGCTTCCAAGGCAAAGAAATCCTCCAATTCCACTCCAGGAATGCCCTCAAATCGCCCTCTCTCTCTTTGGTTCATCCCTTGGGTGTTTGGGATCCAAAACCCAGCTCTCCCTCTCCTTTGGCTCGAAATTGGCTTAAAAAACCCGATTCTGGGCAAAACACTGTCGAGGACACGGCCGTGTTTTGCTTTTGCCCGCCCGTGTTTTTCCCCATGTTAAAAACACGCCCGCGCGCGTCAGCCAAAACACGGTCGTGCCTAAATATGGGCACGGCCGTGTTTTGATTTAGGCGCGCCCGTGTTTTTACTGCCGATCCTGTTCCCCTATATTCAATGCTTTGTTTCTCCCTCGTCCGGACTCCGGATCAGTCGCCGTTTGATCCCAGACGCTCATAGTCTCGTCCTCTTTATTTTCATGACAAGCTTGCATGATTATTTGTCCATAAAGTGATGTAGAATTCCATTCTTCTTCAGGTCATGCCCGAGTTTCTTCTCTCGAATCGCCAATTGATCTCTGATTGACTTGGAACTTGCGCCTATGCTTCACTTTATGTGCTAGGACCTGAAATGTGACAAAGGAACACAACCTAGCGTAAAATAGGCCAAATACGCGATAATTAAATCTCAAACGATCAACAAACAAAGGGGAAAACATGTGCAAATATCGAGTCATCAGGTTTAAAACTAATAAAACTACAAAATAAACAAACAAGGAAAGTATATTGAGGAGAATTCTATATGAGATGATTTCACTTGGGTATTGCTTCCCTTAGTCTCGTATTAAGAAAGCATGAGTGGAACTTTAGTGTTAAGGATGTGTTCATATAACGTAAGGTGGGTGCAACTAGCAAGGGGCAAACTCTCCTAGTTTATCGATTAAGGTTTGTTACAAGAAGCTAGGGAATCTACCTCTCTTAACCGATCAACCGGGGAAACAATAACTCTCTTAGTTGACCAACATAGGATTGTTGCATAAAGTTAGTGTTCTAACTCTCTTAATCTTTCGGTTAATAATTTCAACCCTAGTCTAGACGATCTACCCTTCTAAATCGGTCGACTAAGGATTGCGAATCAATCCCTCGAAACTTAATCCGGACGGCGGAGAGAAATCGATCATGGTGGCATCATGGTACTACTCCGATACTTGAGGTTTTGGCCCTAGATTAACCAAAAATGGGTTATCCAAGAGGCTAGGAGGCCAAGCTCCTTATGGGCCAAAGGGGGATTTCCACCCTCTAGGTTAATTTTTACCCAACAATGATATAATGCAAGCAACACTCACTAATCATGATTAATTTAAGAATTTTCCTAATTTGCATAGGTGGGTGACACAAATTGGGCAAGAATCCAACTTCTCAAAGCCTCTTTCAACAAGGAGATTCACTCCACCTAGGTCAAAATGACACAATCATGAGTTAAAGCTATCATATTCAACCATTCATGAAAATATCTCAAATATTATATAAACATTCAATAAACACAATAGAATCAAGTTCTTACATCCTAACACACATCTAGACTAGGATTCACAATACCCAAGTGAGCAGGGAGGCTATTCCATAACAGGTACGGTGGCTGAATATCAAGAGAAATTTGAGGAGCTCCATTCGAGGATGTTGCGGCTCAACCCTGCACTATAAGAGCCATACTTTGTAATGAGCTTCATTAGCGGATTAGACGAAGAAATTCAGCAAGTGGTGACGATTCAGAATCCTTCGACCTTGTCCCTTGCCTTTCACCAAGTTAGTTTTAAGGAATCATCAATTGAGGCACGAAAGAAGAAGTTTCACAGTTTACGAATTCGATGCCAAACTCTTCAACACAACATAAGATTTACACAAAATCGTCGTCTTTGTCGATTCTAATTGCAACAGAAAGATCATCAATTCCATGAGGGCAGGGCTTATGCTGTAAGTGTGGGAGTAAGTATTTCCATGGCCATGTTTGTGAGAAACACAACAATTATAGTTCTGCAAGTGGAAGCCACCAGTAGAGGATAGTGACGATGAGATAGTGGAGTTAGTGGAACTGACATAAGAAGTTTCAATGCAAGCGATTGGAAATAGTGTTCCGGGGGTTTCAATGAAGATTTAGGCTTGGTCTGGACGTTCGGACATCCTTGTTCTAGTGGATACAGGGAGTAGTCACACATCTTTCAGATATACCAAGGCGAAGGAACTCTGGTGCCGATTGTAGGCGGCGACGCCGATGAAGGTAAAGGTCGCAAATGGTGATTCTCTCTTCAGTACCAAGATTTGTCGTGATTTTGTGTGGAAGATGCAGGGGTAGGAATTCTCCTTTGATGTGCGCTTGTTGGGATTATGCGAGAACAATTTAGTGTTGCCACTGATGCTGGTAAAGTTGCAGCCATGGTAAATTGGTCTCGTCCTCGATCTGTGAAAGGCTTGTGTGGGTTTATCGGTCTCAGAGGGTACTACCGCAAGTTTATCAGGCATTATGGTATCATCAGTAGACCATTTAGATATTTATTGAAAAAGATGGTTTCCACTGGTCTCAATCAGTAGAAGAGGCTTTCCTCGCTCTCAAGCAAGCCATGAGTTCTGCCCCAGTTTTGGCTATTTCCAATTTTAAGTTACCATTTACTTTCGAGACTGATGCTTGTGGGATTGGAGTAGGTGTTCTTCGTTGTCAGCAGGGGCGCCCTCTAGCTTATTTCAGCAAGGCTTTTGGAGTTCAGAATCAGGGTTTAAGTACCTATGAGAAGGAGTAAATGGCGGTTTTAATGACTGTCACCTTTTGACATCTTTACTTGGAGGGGCGCTAGTTTACCATCCTCACCAATCATGAGAGTCTCAAACATCTTCTTGAACATAAATTCCACACTGTTATTCACAAAAAGGGTTGGTAAAGCTGATGGTTTGGATTTTCAGATTAAATATCGAAGAGGAATATTTAACGGGGCAGCTGATGTGATGTCTCAAATGTTTGAAGAAGATTTAATTCTTAGTGAATGCAATGCCCTGTCTACTTTTTTACCGGAATGGTTGGTTGATATTAAGGCCACTTATGTAGGGGATACATGTTACACCCCGCTCTTCCCAAAAGTCGAAATGACTAACATACCCTTGGGTTAAGTTCCACCATATTACCGATGAGGATTAAAAATGTGAACTAATTGTTCAAACGATGTCGAGTTTGACATGAAGTGAGAAAATTATGGACGTTAACTGAATTTCGGATTAAACTCACCCGTGATTATGAAATTCCCAAAATAACCCCGAAGAAAAATACGGATAACCTAAACCGTAGTTCTCTCTGTCAATCGCCGACGACCGACGAGATCAGTCAGTTCATGCGACTGCGACTTTGTTCGCGACTCAGATTTCAATTTTGAGATATATATAGGTACATATATATCTTATCCATGGCGACGGAGAATGGTGCCAATTCGGCCTAGACATCCAGGTCGAATTCGGCGGCAGATTCCTACATAGGAAGCTTGATAAGCTTGACTTCCAAGAGTGAGATCAGATACGAAGGTGTTCTTTACAACATCAACACTGAGGAGTCCAGTATTGGATTGAAAAACGGTAACCGCTTCTCTTAGTTGGGAAGATTTGGAGTTTTCCCCCGTAAAATTGCTTTGTTTTCCGGGGATTTTGCTTGGAGTTGAGTTGATTTTGAATGCATCGGCCAAGATGTTGCTTCATCATTGCAGCTCAAGGGTCAGAAAATATTGAATGAAATTGGCGGTTTCTAGATTCGTATTCCTTCTGTTGGAGTACTGATGAACCACCATTGAAGATTCCACGGATCAATTGTAGACGTACTTGTGCACTCCTGTATTTGGATGAAAGAGATCAATATGGGAGCATTCCTCTATCAAGCTAGATGATAATTTTAGTCGATCAACTCGATAAGTAAGGTGAGTGTAAAGGGGGTAAATTCTACGCCTTACGTATTCTTTTAAGTATTTTAGCGAATTGGTATGTGTATGATTGACTATGTGTGCTTTGCTTGAGTTATGGGTTAGGGTGTTTCATTTTGGTATCAGAGTCGGTCTTCCTCTGTACCTTGGTTTACAAGGAATACTAGAATGTCGATCTCAGTTTTAAAGGCTTTTGTTTTAAAGGAAAGGAAAACGAGTTAAGGATCTTCTTTTAAGAGTTTATAGAATCTCCAGTCTACTCTAAGCATATTAAGTTAAATAACTATGACAACACGGCACGAAGGGATGGTAGCCCAGGGTGCGATTGTTTAAGAATAACTATGACAACACGGCAAACAGATCATCATCATCAACCTAGAGAAGGAAGGAGAAACGTTGCAAAGGTCTGGGGAAGTAGAATCAAATAAGCGAGGACTTCAACTCCAAACACCAGCAAATAGGTGCCAATTGAAAGGGAATACCTCAAGGATTTTGAAGGAGTTGAGAGAGTAGTACGAGGATTTTACTACTAGGCAACAAGGGGGGACCTAATAAGCAAAAACAAACAACTGGGGAAATATGAATGTCCGAAGGAAGAGATACAATCACTTGACGCCATCGGCTACGATAATGAGAGGATTTAGGGTATTTGATCCTAAGAGGGACAAGGAGGAAACAAAGAGGCTCCACTAAGAACCACTCTATTGGTTTTAGTGGTCGATGTTATTACGACACAGTGACAAGGAGTAGTGGAAAGTTTGAACGTTAGGCAACGATAGAGTCATATGAATGAAGCAAAGGAGGAAGTGAGTAGGTTACAGGGAGTATGAAATGACTTAAAGAAGTCAAAAGGTCAAGTTGGAGAGGAGGCATGGTCGTTTACATATAACGATAAAGGACCCTTATAGATAAAATACGTCACTAGAAAAGAGGGTAAACGACCCTGGGGAGTTAGGCCGATGACAAGCCTTTAGAAGGAGAAAGACAAAAAACGGGGTAAATAATGTGGAGGACAAGTTACTGTCTCAGTAACACCACCAGTATACGACATGGGGGGGGGGGGGGGGGGGGGGAAGTGTCACCGAAGACTAAAGCATGCCTGGTAGAAGACAATGGGGAGTCAATATGTTACAAAAGACATGGAATGTGAGAGGGAATAACAGTTAGCAAATAAATGGCAGTATGGATAGACAACCACTTCTCACCAATACGTGAGTTGAATACCAAGATAACACCGCCCTAGAAAGAGGATGAATTGGGATATGAGAGACCCTACAAACTACCCAGATCACGAAAGGTCAGGAGGTCGTTGGGACCGTTGAGAGGGGGAATGCCAGAGTTCACGATGGTCTGTTATGTGATCGTCCTATCCTAAATGAAGGGAGCACCTAGCCGCCTAGGGTACATGAGGGGTGACAGAAGGAGGAACCTCTGTAATAAGTTGGAACTAGAGGGCTAAGAACTAGAGTCTCGGAACCCGCGATAGGAGTAAGTCATTCAACCAAACGAGTATAGACAAGCAAGTAGAATGTTCATTAGAAGTTCTAATGAAAGTTTGAGAATTCGAGGAAGAGTCTAAACGGTCGTAATGAAGAGAGTTTGCGAACAATACCAAGGAAGAGCAAAAAGGCAGATGGAGTTTGACGAGATTTCAAGAAGTCAATGGGTCAAGTCTTAGGTGACTCGAGGTCAAGAAGCTGCACAAAGAGGTATGATGAGGGAAAGCATTACCGAGAAGGAGGAAAGAGAGAAGTTACCTTATCCAAGGTACCCCACTCTGAGTGGGAGCAGGCATAGTAGGAGGGCTCCAGAGGAGACAACTAGTTAAGGATGAAACAGGCACGCTTAGTTAAGCCACTAAGAATCCTAACTAAGAGACTAAGTTTATGTACAAGATCGATCAATAAAAGAGACATGGAATGAGTTTGTTAAAGGTTACCAAGGGCAAGCCACCATTGGAAGTTGTGACCTAAAAACAACAACGAGAAGATACTCAGCAGAGGTTGGTGATCAAATATAGTACAAGCAACAACAAAAGAGTTGTAGTTTGGTGGTAGTAAAAGTAAAGAAGCAAGAATATGGTTGGCATCAAACTGGAGATGTATGCGTCAAGGAAGATAGTTAAGACAGGCGGAAGCAGGAGTACAACAGACAACAAGAAAAGCATTAGGTTGATTACCAGTAGAGAACAATCAATCCATAGGAATTCCATCAAGAAAGTAAGATGGAATCGTGGTCGTTAAGACTAGTCAAAGGGAGAACCTTATAAGTCAAGGACTCAAGGTACATTAGTAAGAAGAGGATATGAGAACCTAGATGACTATATCGAGAATAAAGGACGTCATCTAGAACTAGAGAGTAATATCAAGAAGAAGAGTCACGAGTAACGAAGTAAGAGGGATATAAGTTTAGTGAAACTGCTAGAATACCCAAAAGTGAAACCAAGATTGCCTATGTTGGTGAAAGGTGTCAATCTCTCGGGTAAAACTCTATTGGACGGGGAAACTGTATGAGGAATTTCAGCCAGGGTCTAAGAGTAGCAGAATGATAGTACGAGAACTTCAAATAAAGGTTGCGATAAGGAAGTGCTAAGTTAGGTGCCAGGAGGGAACAGGTAAGCCAAAGGGAAGTTCATGACTCTTGAAGGGAGTCATATAGTTTTTAGCAAGCTAGAGAAAGATGCAAAGAATGCCTTTAATGCATACAGGAAGTAAAAGCAGTAGTATGAGGTTTCAGAGGTAAGTAAGAATTAACGAGGAGATGACCACTCAGTTTATGGTTAAAGGATAACACGAGGCATCAAGGAGGAAAGTAAGGGATGCAAAGTTAGGAGATACAAGAACCTAGGTGACCTATGAGGTCAACCCTAGACGAGAGTTACGTTAAAAGAGTTTTACCATCTGACTAGATGGAAGATAAACCGCCATCAGTGACCTTGTGGTTGGAGAGGGGCACTAACTTTTCATGTACCAAATGGATAGTTATCGTTCCTATTTATGTACAAGGTGCAACCGAGTTAATGTGAGGGGTTAAGAAGCCACAACAACATTGAAGTTGCAGGGAATGGAGAGAAGGATTTTAGGTCATGTCGTATAAGTTAAAGGAAATAAAAATCCTTGAAGTGAAAAGGATTACCACAAGCGATGCTTAGGGAAATCACAGTGGACAAATTTTGAGGGCGAAATTTCTATAAGTGGAGAGGAAATGTGATACCTCAACTTCGATAGGTTCAACATCAAGTACTGAATCAGTTGGACCAAATAAATTGAGCCGAAATTTTGTCCCATCACACCCTGGGCCCAAGTTGGAGAAGTTTGAAAAGGGCAATGAGTCACTCAAACCTATTCGATGCTACCAAGCTAGATGAGAATATATGTTATGGTCAAGAGTACATATAAGAACTATAGTAAGCTATTCAAGACAAGGTAAGGGCACGCCATTGAAGTTCATATAGAAAGAGTGAAATCTTGAGCTAAAGAAGCACGAGAATGAGGAGTATGGAAGGATGCGCCCGATCAAATTTCGGGGACGAAATATTTATAAGGGTGGAGGAAATGTTACACCCCGCTCTTCACAAAAGTCAAAATGACTAACATACCCTTGGGTCAAGTTCCACCGTATTACCGATGATGATTAAAAATGTGAACTAATTGTTCAAACGATGTCGAGTTTGACATGAAGTGAGAAAATTATGGACATTAAGTGAGTTTTGGATTAAACTCACCCGTAATTATGAAATTCCCAAAATAACACCGAAGAAAAATACCGATAACCTAAACCATAGTTCTCTGTGTCAATCGCCGAGTTTGTATTCAGTTTGGGGTTTTTTTTCACAGATCCTCTCTCCGGCGACCGACGAGATCAGTCGGTTCATGCGACTGCGAATTTTTTCGCGGCTCGGATTTCAATTTTGAGATATATACAGGTACATATATATCTTATCCATGGAGACGGAGAATAGTGCCAATTCGGCCTCGACTTCCAGGTCGAATTCAGCGGCGGATTCCTACATAGGAAGCTTGATAAGCTTGACTTCCAAGAGTGAGATCAGATATGAAGGCGTCCTTTACAACATCAACACTGAGGAGTCCAGTATTGGATTGAAAAACGGTAACCGCTTCTCTTAGTTGGGAAGATTTTGGGTTTTCCCCGGTAAAATCGCTTTGTTTTCCAGGGATTTTGCTTGGAGTTGAGTTGATTTTAACTGCATCGGCCAAGATGTTGCTTCATCGTTGCAGCTCAAGGGTTAGAAAATATTGAATGAAATTGGCGGTTTCTAGATTCGTATTCCTTCTGTTGGAGTACTGATTAACCACCATTGAAGATTCCATGGATCAATTGTAGAGGTACTTGTGCACTCCTGTATTTGGATGAAAGAGATCAATACGGGAGCATTCCTCTATCAAGCTGGATGATAATTTTAGTCGATCAACTCGATAAGTAAGGTGAGTGTAAAGGGGGGTAAATTCTACGCCTTACGTATTCTTTTAAGTATTTTAGCGAATTGGTTACCGTTGATTGGTTATCTGTATGATTGATTATGTGTGCTTTGCTTGAGTTATGGGTTAGGGTGTTTCAATACATAACTAGATCCTATCATTAGAGCGACTCCAGTATACCAAGGCAGGTCAAGTTTATGGTCTTATTCAAATGGAGTGTTGTGATAGAAGGAGGTTACTGTGGTTGGTTCTATTGGGATCATGCACCAAAAACTTCTTCAGTTGTTCCACTCCTCGTCTATTGGTGGTCATTCTAGAGCTGAAGGTACTTATCACCACCATAAATCTCACTTCTATTGGCCTGGTCTAAAGTCTGCAGTACGCCAGTCAATATAGAATTGTGACGTTTGTCAACGATATAAGGATGAAACGGTGCCTTCTCCATGTTTATTACATCCCATTCCCTTTCCTAATCGTGCTTGGAAGGATATTAGTCTTGATTTTGTGGAAGGGTTGCCAACTCTCGTGGGAAGGAGGTTTTGATGGTCGTAGTGGACAGATTTATTGAATATGCTCATTTCTTTGCTCTAAAACATCCATATACAACCATTGAAGTTGCCCAAGTTTTTTTATGGGGTCTTCAAGCTTCATGGTATGCCTTATACAATTGTATCAGATAGGGATGCAGTGTTTACAAGTTCTTTTTTACAGAGTTCTTCAAGTTGCAGCACACTTATCTTATGTTTTCCATAGCCTATCACCCTCAGACAGATGGCCAAATGAAGCGGGTGAATTGCTGCCTCGAGGAAAGGGGAGGTTTTATACTAGGTTTCTTGTGTTTCAATGTGTTTCAGAGTCTAACAAGTGAAACCAACCCCGGAGTCGAAAGTTGGAAGAAAAGGAGCAAATACCAGGCAAAGAGGAGGATTCAGCCAGAGTTTACGATCCATCATTGGAGTTCACGGTCGCCAGTATCATGAACTGGAACCACAAACCGTGAATAGCAAAGCGTTCGCAGGGGTTTCTAAGGTTACTAACACCAAGGCAGTTCACGGTCGCTAAGACCGTGAACTGGAACCACAAACCATGAACCCAAGAAGTGAAGCGGTGCATTTTGATCCAACTCAGTGAGTTTATGGACGCGTTCTGATGTTCATGGCCGTGAACTGGGACCGTGAACTAGGGTTTGCTCCAAGTGAAGATTTTGGGAAGTTCCTCTTCTTTGGAGGATCTCTAGAAGCACAAGGAGAGTTGGTGGCATCACAATGATGGTTTCTTTCTTCCTCTTTTGTGTTCTTCCTTTGTCTAGCATGGAATAGTTTCTCTTTTCACTTGAGTGTTGTAGAACCTAAGTACTATCATGTAATTGATTTTATGGATTGAATGATTGTGTGTTGGTGGTGTTTAATTTAAGAATTGAGGTATTTTTCATGGTGATTGTGCATATTGTTTTCTAGGCAATCTATTGTGCTATTTTAACCTAGATTAGAGAGAAGCCCCCTTATCTTAAGAGGCTTAAAATTGAGCTGGTTTTCTTAGGCATTCCATGCCACCTAACTAAGTTAATGAAGGGAAAACCTCTACTTGAATTAGACACCTAGGTTGATTGTGATTATGCCGTCCAAGCCTTGGTTTTAGGGAGAAGGTAAGTCAACCCTCAATTTCTTGCACCAAGAGGGCTACAATTGTTGCCTCTAATGCTTACCTTGGCCTAGCAATTGAGAGGATGGTTTCTAACCATTGTTGCACCTCCTATGGGTCACAATTGGCTTGTCACACAGCGGTTCATTCGATCCCACGGTTCCTGGTAGTTAGTTAGTGGGAAGCAACACCCGAGTGAAGCTTCTCACCAAGAGTTTTCCACCCTTTTACTTTTCAAAGTCTTGCTTCGAAATCGTAAATTGTAGAGATTTCAACAAAAAACAATCTGCTAGATAATGTTTCAAACAATCGAAGTAGGGGTACATGGGCTAACCCGGGTTGATACTTAAACATACTTTCTCAATATTGCACCCATCTAAGGTTACTTGGACCTTAGGTGGGATTTTATTATGATATTCGGAGCGAGTCAAGTTTTTGGCTCCGTTGCCAGGGACTTCGGTCCGCTATCTTGAAAATATTGTTTGGTGTTAATCTAGCTTTTATTTTCAGTTTTGCAAAGTGTGAATTGTTGCTTGTGCTAGACATGTTGTGTTCTTTAAGTGTGTGTACGGAGGTGCATAACCTGGAGCAATCCTGTGCCTTTAACCCCACTGGACGAGGACATCAACCGGACTCACCAACTTTTAGCTCGAGAGAGGGAGCTAGCGGAGGCAAGAAGGATAATTGAAGAGAGGGGACAACAAGTTGGTCCCGGATTTGAAGAAATTTAAGGAGAAGTTGAAGTTGAGATGGCGGGGAATCAACATCGAGGTGCTAATCCGCTTCAAAGCCAAAATAAGGAAGCGGGACTATGGGCTATTACTTGGCTCCACGGGCGGCGGATATCCAATCTCATATCCTAGATCCACCAGTGGAAGCCAACAACTTTGAAATAAAGCCTGCTATCGTGACAATGAATCAAAACAATGCCTTATTCCACGGGCTTGCCAAAGAGCCGCCGCGAGATCATGTCAAAAGGCTTCTTGAGCTTGCGGGAAGCTTGAAGATAAATGGCGTCCCCGAGGAGGCATTGCAACTGAGGCTATTCCCATATTCTTTGGTGTAGAATGCCCTCCGATGGCTCCACAACCGTCATGCTGGATCCATCACCTCTTGGGACGATTTACTCAACAAGTTCATGACCCGATATTGCCTTCCTTCCAAGATGCCCGAGTGGAGGAAGAAGATTACTCACTTTGAGCAAGAGGAAGATGAGACGTTGAGGGATGCATGGGAAAGATTCTCCTAATACTTCCTTCAATGCCTCCACCATGGATTCGAGGAGAAATTTCTGATAGAGACTTTCTATGGTGGTCTCATTACAGATGATACGATTCTCATTGACACTCTTTGACAAGGGAAGTTGATGAAAATTACCCCACCTCAAGTGACCGAGTTACTCGAAGATGTGGCTCTCAAAGGATATGATTGGGGCTTGACAAGAAGTGGTAAGAGAAGCACCAAAAGAGGAGTGTGAAGTGTGGGAGCAAGTACTCCACTTGAAGCAAAGCAGGACAAGTTGATCGAGGTGATCCTTGAGGACAAGAAGCAAGGGAAGAGAGCAGTGATGTCTTGTGATTGGTGTTCAAGCAAAAATCATGAAATTGAAGATTGCCAAGTGATGAAGGAGACAAGTACCCCTGAGGAGCAAGTGAGTTTCATTGCCAATATTAGAGAGAACAACCCTTATAGCAACACCTACAACCCCGGGTGGCGCAATCATCCAAACTTTGCTTGGTCTTCCCCTACCGATCCAAGACCTATCGGTTTCCAAGGTCCAAACGAAAACTATAAACCTCGGCAAACTTTCATCCAACAAAGGCCTCAATTCCAAAACTCGAACTTCCAACAACCATACCAAGCACAAGGTGTGCAACGGTTTCAACAACAACAACAAGTCAACAAGCTCTCAGAAGTTCGAGAAGATTGAGCCTTTCATGGATGTGGCAACCTCCAAGTTTACCTCAGTTGAGGCGGGACTATGAAGTCATTAAGCAAGTATCTAGAACTTGGAAGTGCAAATCGGCAATCTTGCCGGGATGCTCACTGAGAGACCAAAGGGAGCCCTACCCTCTCAAACCATTACAAACTCCAAGGATCATGTCGGGGTGAATACAATTCATTTGAGAAGTGGGAAGGTGACTCCAGAGGTAGTTGCCAAAGAAGTGAATGAGAACGAAGACCCTTTACCCGAGGGTGGATAAGAAGAAACCTCGGGAGAAAAGAGAGGAGTGGCGAGGAAGGCATCCCCAACACAACCCCCTGTGGCTGACTACACGCCACCCCTACCTTTTCTCATGAGTTTGCACATGGAAAGATTGGTAGCGGAATATGGAGGTTTCGTGGAGATGCTGAAAGCTCCACCTCAACATTCCCTTCCTTGAGGCAATGGCCCACATGCCAAGGTATTCAAAATACCTTACGGGGCTTCTCTCCAAGAAGCCAAAGTTCGAAGAGCTTGCCAATGTCACCCTAGGCGTGGAGTTCTAAGCCTTCATCCTCAAGAAGATGCCTAAGAAGCAACCCGATCCAGGTAGTGTCAGCATACCTCTTTGCATTGGTACTCATCATATAGAAAATTCCTTGGCGGGCTAAGGGGCGAGAAAAAATGCGATGCCATTTAAGCTTTTTAAGAGGCTAGACATAGGCGAACTAAAGATTACGAGGCTTAGTGTCACATAGGTTGATCGCTCTGTCATTAGTCCTAGGGGCATTGTGGAGGACGTGCTAGTATGAGTGGGAATTCTGTGATCCTGGATATAAGTGAGGATTCTGAGATGCCACTCATACTAGGACGCACTTTCCTTGCCACCGCAAAGGCTTTGATTGATGTAAATGAGGGAACTTTGATTCTGAGGGATAGTGATGAGAGAATTACTCCTGGAATTGAACCTAAGCTTAGGAGTGAGGATGTGAAGAAAGTAGAATCGGGTGATATGAATGCAACTGGAGGAGAAACTTTCAAGGTAAACCTCATTATTACTGTTGTTCCTCGTGATGATGTGAAGCAGGAAAGCAAAGAGGGCATCTCGCCCAAAGAAGGAAAGAAAAAAGCTTGGCGTGAAAGGATAAATCATGTTAATGCCCATAGGAAGGAAAAGCGCAAAGCGAAAGTCATCGGCCAAGAAGACCATCCCATGGAGAGTAAGTTGGGAGGCGACACGCCTCGCCCCAAGATCGCGGTGTATCCACTCTCGGTGGCATCACGTTCAAAGGCGTGATAGATCCGCAACGTCAAGCTAGTGACGTTAACTTAGTGCTTGTTGGAAGGCAACCCAACGTAGGTTTGTTTTCTTTTCCTTAATTTTGTTTTTGTGTCGAGTGAAGAGTTCAAGTGGTCGATTGTTATCCCCGTGCCAGGTTTTTATGATTTTTTATTTTAAGTTGTGTCGTGAATGATAGTAGGCACGATGGAGTAGGTCGAGTAACAATTTTTGAAAATGCCATGTTTTCACTGCAGTTCACATACGGATTGCTTTGTTCACGGTCTTAATCGGTTGTGAACTATCAAACGCGTCCTTGAACAAGGGTGTTTCCACGTGTGTCAAAACCACCGGTTTTCCCCAGTTCACAGACGGATTGCGATGTTCATGGTCTTAACGACTGTGAACTGGCAAACTCATCCGTGAATGTCAGGGTCTGCCTATAAAAGGGCCGTGAACACTTTTTCCTCACTTCACGACCCAAAACTCGACGGAATCCTTTCCAATTTGCTAGAATAACGGAATTTTCCAACGAATTTTGCCCTTTTCACCCACTCTCGGCGAGCCAAATCAAAATCCAATAGAAGTCCCATTCTCCCCTCGTCATGAACGGCCTTCGCCAAAATTTTTAGGGGGATTTGGAGACAATTTTTTCTGGTGAATTCGCTGCCACGTGAACCTCTGATGAGGTTCCGGTGAGATTCCAGCGAAGCTCCGACGACCCTCCTTCGACCTGTTTTTGGCTAATTTTTTGCTCCCTTTCCCTCTCTTCACTTCCCCTATCTTCCTACTTGAATCTCCAAGTTTGTTTTCAACTCTACCTTGATTAATTTGGGAGAATCAGATTAGGTAGTGAAGTGAGGAGAATTTTAGTGAATTGAATGTTGAACTTAGCAATAGGGCGAGGAATTAGGTGAATTGTGGTGAATGAATGATTGAATGATGTCTGTATGAGCTTAGTTGAGCCTTGGTGGGCATGTTTTGATTCGAATTGCTCTTATTTGTGGAATTTGCCCACCAAGTGATAATTTGTGAATGAAAGTGCAATTTTTATGCTTGAGTGGTGGATGGTAGCCATCGTGGCATGGTTCGGGTTTAATTTTTGGGTGAATGATCCGTGAAATACCTAGAACCATGCCTGGGTGTGTTTGTGCTTAACTGTTTCAAATGGCATGGAGCTGTAGTGGAAATATAAGTGTGGGGGGAATCCTTTTTCCTCCCAATGAGTTGAGATTGACAATTATATCCACGTATGGTGCATGTTTGTCGGTTTTGCAGGAAATTCAGCATGAACCAGCCGTACCTTGTGGCACTGCGAGGGAACCCCAAAATGGAAAGGGAGCTGAGATTATGGGCAAGCACTAACTCTAGAGATCACTGGAAACTCGACTTCACTCAATTCGAAGGTCTTCAATGTCGAGATATAATTAGGGAGGTTGTGGCGCACCCACAATGGCGCCGACTCCTTGAAATGGAGGATGACATTTATGGAGAGTTGTGTGTCGAGTTTTTCAGTACCTTCACCATATTTACGAGCAAGAGCACGTTCAGCGATCCGCGACACAAGGTGACATTCCACTTAGGAGGGGAATGGAACACCCTGACTTTTGACGAGCTTGCCCGATCCTTGAGAGTTTACGACGGGTGTGAGGCAGAATGGGAAGAGGACGCCATCATAGTTTTCAACATGAATGCAACATTTTGAAGGTTTTGCCTCCCGGAGCACCGACGAACACCGTTTCGATCGGCACTCACGTTGGCGTCCACACTCAAGCCATAGTGGCCCATCATCAATGCACTCCTTAACCGTTCCCTCTACCCGAGCTATCACAATCTGAACAAAGATAACCGAGAGGATCTTGTTCGCGTTTGCTTGCATGGTGGATCCGTCTAGCAATCTTAAACTTGGAACAATCTTGGACACCTTTTTCGCCAGAGCCATATGGGGAAATAGATGATATATCACATCAATGGGGCCCTACATTACCCATCTTGCTCGTCACTTGAATGTCAATCTGGCAAGCGTCACATATGAGGAGCACTCCATGGGGTTTGAAGAGGGAACTTTGTTTTCCATGTGTTTGCTGGGATCATTTGGACCAATTAGGTTCATTGAGGGTGTCATAACCGGGGTGCTCAATTAGTACGAGATTGACCTCTTGGTGGACACTAATATACAAGGGTTCCTTCCCTTGCATTACCAATGTGGTACTTGGATTGTCCCATAACAATCCTTCCCTCGAGACAAGGACCACAGAATTCTCAGTACAAGAACTTTACCAGATGCAGAACTTGCCAGACGCCTTGAATCGATGGGATTCTCAGTACAAGAACTTTACCAGATGCAGAACTCTCTTTGATCTGCCAAGCCCAAAGTGGATCTCTCCTTGATCCACCAAACCAGACGCAGATCACAAATCTCAAGGTCACCGAATGAGGGTCCACCAAACTGATGTCCACCACCCTAGACCCGAATCAGGCTCTAATACCACTTGTCAAACCGAACTGCTCAATTAGTACGATATTTTCCGCTTTGTGCCAAGTCCGCACGATTTTACTCTTGGGTTTCCTCCCCAAAATTCCTCGTACTAATGAGCTTGGTGGAAACTAATATACAAAGGTCCCTTCCCTTTTATTATTGATGTGGTACTTGGATTGTCCCATAAAAATCCTTCTCTCAAGACAATGACCACGAACTTCTCACCTCAGCGATTATCTTGATCCGCCAGACACCATGCATTGATGGGCTTCCCGTTACAAGGATTTTTCAATATGCGGAACTCTCTTTGATCCGCCAAACAGACGTTAATCTCTCTTGGATCCACCAAACAACCCAGACGCAGAACTCTCTTTGATATGCCAAACAGACGTGGATCGCAAATCCCGAGGCCACCAAATGAGGGTCCACCAAACTTACGTCCACCACCCTGAACAGAACCAAGCTCTGATACCACTTGTCATAACCGGGGTGCTCAATTAGTATGATATTTTCCGCTTTGGGCCAAGCCCACATGGTTTTGCTCTTGGGTATCCTCCCCAAAAGGCCTCGTACTAATGAGCTTGTTGGACACTAATATACAAGGGTTACTTCCCTTGAATTACCCATGTGGTACTTGGACTGTCCCATAACAGAGGGAGTGTCTCTACCACCAGGGGTTCCTCTTCCAGAGCAGCCACCTGCTCGAGCTCCCGCGCTCAACCGCCCAGTACCACCACCACCAGCATCATCATCAGGTGTGGTCCTTCCACCTCAGGGGTGCACCTCGAGGACAGGATGGACCGTCTTGAGACCCATGTTATGGGAGTCACCTCCCGCCTTGATGTTTCCCAAATTTTAAATATTTTGAGGTCTCCAAGCAATGTTTGCATGATCAAAGTGGTCGGTTTGTAGGAGAATCTCGTGTTTATTGGCATTGGCCTTGAATTGTTGCATGTGATCGAGTGTGTCCTATAATGATGGTTGAGAGGTGAATTAGGATAGTGCAAAGGTTTAGTTCTCATGTGTGCGAAAATAAATGGAAGTCTTGATTGTTGACTAGGTAGCCATGCATTGTATTTTGTAGAATTGGAATGGATGATTGGTGACTAGGTAGCCGTGTGAGTTTTGAGCCGATCGTTTTCTTCTTGTGTGCTTAGATCCCTCTTACCATGACGAATAACATCACAGTTGTCACTAGTGAGTATGATGGATGCATATGATTAGTCCATACCCAAATGTTGATTATCCCGAAATGCTTTATCCCCTAGCCAACCCCTTTGAGCCTTGTGACTTTGGGGGTCATTCACTTGTAAGAGCATTTTGGTTGTGAGCTTAATGGTGTTTGATAGAACGATCCCCATCCTTTCTTTGTGTTGTAGACACCACATTTTGTCTGGGTCAAAACCTATTGCCAGCTTCGGACCAATAAAGTTGTCTCTTACCAGTCTAAGAAGAGTTCATGTTAAACAAGAGTACGATCATTCATTCAAGTTTATGAAGCATTGGAGTTCCATGTCAAGGTTTGATTCACAATTCGAGTTCAATGTCAAGGTTTGATGCACAAGGGATTTGAAGACACAAGGAAAGTACAATATCGTATTATTGAGGAGGAATTTAAAAGCCAACATCATTACAAAAGTTAGTACACTCCTAAACATCAACCAAGTTTACAAATCCAAGAAAGCAAAGGCCCGATAGAAATGGAGAGCCCACACCAGCAAGCTGCAAAACAAAGAAGAGAGTAAGCTAACACTGGCCCAAATTTCAAAAACAGTTTCAGCCCATGACCTAAGCCCAAGTTGGCCCATATGCCCAGGAGCCCAAAGGCACAAATTGGTTTGGCCCAACCCGACCAAGAGCTCACCAACAAGGCCACTCAGCAACCCACTTTACATACGGAGGCTTCAGATGCAGCCTTGACGATCAGCCAATTAGAGGGAAGCACGTCATGCTCATCACCAATCACAGCATGACATGTGGCTCCTTCTTTTACTATTAAAGAGCTCTTTGGGATCTCAAGTTTGGGGGAGGAGGGGACGGTTCTGGTAAAAAGGGGGGAGTGAAAACACGAAAGGAAATAGGGAGAGATCTTTCTTTCTAGCCTTTTTTTGGGATCGAATCCTTGTTCTTGGGGTCCAAGAGGAAAAATTAGGCACAAGGCAAGGATCTCAACACCAAGCTTGTAATCAGTAAACCAGGTTCATCCTTCTTCAATAATAATCTTTTTAGTTCTCTATCATTTTATCGCTTGTTTATGTATACAACTGATCCCTGCATAATTCATTTATATTCAAGCACTTGTTATGTATCATTATTGACTCGACTCTACTGTCACTCCAGGAATTGGCCAAGTGTAACCACTTCCTAAAGCGTAGTGTAGCGGGTTAGGTTTATATGTCAACCCGGGTCCTAGATCTGATGACTACTCAGTGAATTCTTGTTATCTAGCAATGAACTGGAATGCAAGTCTAAACTAACAAACTAACAAAGCAAGTAAACGGTTGTATACGGGTTAAAAAGGTCACCCGGATATGGTTCCCCCTAGACTGCAGTTAAGCCGGATTGTAATTACCAAGTTCAGTTTCTATGATAGTTATACTGCGGAAGGTTCTTAAACATCCTGAAGTCTCGACTAAAGGTCTTCAGACCCTCTCAATCTGAATCTCTAGCGGGCGACTAACCTCCACCGGAGTAAACAGATTGAGGCCTTAACAAACAAAACCTCCACTACCGGAGTAAATCCGGTACAGAATAGTGAGTTGGTTCCTCGACTAAAGTCACCAACTCCCTACCTTCAATCAAGGATACTCTATTAACCTAGGCAGATATTCTCATTCTAGGTTAAAGCAGAAACAACAGGAATTTGATCAGGATTCAAGTCATTCAATCATTAAAACCTCAATCGAATATAATCAATCATAGAATCAGTACTTGGGTTCATACAATCACAGCCTAACGTACAAATCTAGGGTTCTCCATACCCAGATGAATGGGAGAACTACTCCATGGAGAAGAAAGCAAAAGGAGAATCAGACACGGAATTCATACTGCGAAGGACGGATTCTGGCTCCTAACGTTGATCGGTACTTCTCCAAGCTCAAACTGGCCTCCAATGGTGTTGAAGATCAATCTAGGGCACTTGGGAACTCTTGCTCGTCACTTTCTCTCTCTAGGAACTGATCTCTCTCTCTAAAACTCGAATCCCTTCAATGTTGGCCTTCTTCTTCCTTTTATCAGCTGCCTGGTCGCGATACCCGGTCGAAATACCCGGTCGGGTATTTTGGGTTTCGACCGAGTATTTGCAAAACTCACCGTTTCATTTAAGGGAAAAATCCCCGGTCTGTCCTCATAATCCCCGACCGGGGATTTAAGGCATTTGTCCGGGCCCCCTTCTGTTTCTCAGAGGTCAAAAAGGGAAATCCCCGGCCTCTTTAGAAATATACCCGGCCGGGTATTTTCGGTCATGGCCGGGTATTTTCTTCCTCCAGCCCACTTCAATCCTTGTTTGCTCCTTTCGACCCGAATCTCGTTCCTTCGCCTTGATTCCAACGCCGGGTCCTGAAATGTGACATAAACACACAACCTTGCGTGAAATCTGCTTAAAACCCGAGAATTAACCTTTCAAACGGCTCAAGAATAGGGGTGAAAATACGTGTAATTATCGGTCTATCAAACTCCCCCACACTTAACCGTTTGCTTGTCCCCAAGCAAACCTAACTCAAACCAATGCAACTCTCCAGACCTCTATAGCAACAAACAACCCAGATCGTAGGTAGAGGACTTCCTAGATCATTTAGCAGCTTACGAGGTCAACCGACGCACAAGTCATCTCCTAACTTCTTCGGCGAGAGCACTAATATCGAGTCGGCATCATGGCAAATAGTGAACAGAGGACAAATGACTCGTGGATGAAGAGATTCTCAAAAACAAAAGATCATGGACTCACATTTTTTCTAGGTGCTCTATTTTCTTCTTGAAGATGGTTGGAACCCCTTTTTTTCGTTTTGCTTGTTTTCTGTTATTTTTTTTTCTTTTCTTTTCTTTTCAAGGGTCCCAACCTGCTCTTACCGGCCATGCCAGGAGCGGATGTCTCGAGCCTCGTGCGGGGGAAAGCCATGCAAGGGGGCTGGATGTAGTAGGTGGAAATTGGGAACGAATTCCCGTCTCCCCTTACACACTTTCGCCCTATTCGCACGGGAGACGTTATTTTGAAGCACATTTCTGAGCACCTGTTATTTTCAAAACATGATACAAGAGTCCACGACCGGTAGAGAATCCACAACACCACACAATTCAAGGGTCCTAAGATCACTAATTCACTCAATCAACCAACTCAATATGAAGAAGAAATGAGACTTCTTAAATGCATCAACATCCTCCATAGTGCTACACTACCTCCCTAGGTTGCATATTACTATAAAGACTGTCAATTCAAAGCATACTGAGCAGGCAATTGCAAGGAAACACGTACTTGGAGCCCTCAAATTTAAAAATTTGGATAGTGGACTAGGCTCCAAGCACACAAACAGATCTAATGCAGTCAAAAGATAAACACCCCCCCCACACTTAAGATCGACATTGCCCTCAATGGAGAAGAGGGAAGGATAAGGAGAACGATGTTACCGGTAGGCACGGACTGTAGGGGACTGGAAACGGACCAGTCGGAGGGAAGCGGACTGGATAGAGGACCAGTCAAGACAAGCATAGCTAAAAGGAAACCAAAGAGCTCAACACAAGACGTCAGGTCTAATGGTCAGCCCAATAGTACAGAATCCAACATAAAAAGAAAGAAACCAAACCAACACAAGACAGTTTGCACACTGATAAAAACAAACACACTCAAAACATGGCACTAGGAACCGCCTCCTAGACTGGTGAAGTCGATCTGGTTCACGAGGTCGTCGTCTCCATCATCCGGCGGTGGTGGCGGGGAATGATCCCACCGGGTGGTCCAGTGGTGCTCCTCCGGTGGGTGGCAGGCCTGGAGCAGGTGCTCAGAGTACTCCATCATTCGGCGGCCTCGATCTCTCTCCCGCTCGATGAGAGCACCCGTGACTCCCATATGGGTCTCTAAGCGGCCGAGGCGATCGTCAACAACCTGCAGCCTGGACTGGTACTCGGCCTGGTGGGCCGAATACTGCTGGTGGAACCGGACCTGATGGTCCATGAGCTGCTGGTTCTGAAGACCGAGCTGCTGAAACTGGAGCCCCATCTGCTGGAACTGCTCCGTGAAGAAATCCATCGACGGACCAGAAGGACCGGAGGAGGACTCACCTCGCTCCTGTCGCCGTCGTGGCCGAAGGTCCCCTGACGGAGAGAGTGAGGGCTCCGGCTCATCGGCATCCATGGCCCCGCCATCATCATCATCATCATCCTCATCATCCTCCGCGCCAGAATAGTCAGCGTCCTCCTCGTCCTCATCGAGATCCTCATCCTCAGCAGGCGGCAGAGAAAGCCCATCCACCCAGGTGCGGGGGCCATCGCTGGTCAGGAGGAGTGCGTTATGGAGCACTTCCCGGCTGAGGGGGGTGGAGCCGCCCCGTGCAGAAGCATCATGGAGGCCCTGGAAGCTGATGTCGAAATGCTGCGCCAAACGAGTGATCAGCGGACCACAGTAGAGGTGAGTGGGTCTCCCGTGGCACCGGGAGAAGGTGGTGGTCACGAAAGAACCCAAGTGGAGCATGTGCTCCGGGTACCCCATCGAGTACATGGCATACAACACCCGCTTCGGAATCTTATGCGAGCCGGTGACGTTGGGGACGACGGAGCGAGTGAGGAGCAGGTTCAGGATATGCCACTGCGGCCGGAGGGTGCGGACGTATGTCTGGCCAGGATCGAAGTCGTCATGCCCATATGCACGCCTGGCTATCCGGCGGTAGTACGAGTCCTGGCGCCAGTCGTCCGGGTGCGGAACCTCGACCTCGTGGCGATCGAACGGGTGGTACTCGATCCCCAAAGCATAGGCCAACCCGTCGATGGTCAGCTCCCGGGCGTGGCCGCCCAGCCGGAATGTCACAGCATACGAATCCCGGGGCGCCTTGCTGTCGTACTTGAAAGTGGTGTAAAATTCCCACACCAGCTCCGTGTAGGTGGGCTCTGCGATAGTCAGCAGCGTGAGCCAATCGGGGTGGCTGATGGCGGCGCTGAGCTCCTGCATGCAGTGGAGCTGCTCGAACACTGCCCACTCCAGATGGTGGTGGCGCGCCAATTTCCCCCGAGTCACCGCGCGGAACTTGTCCGCGTACTCCGGGTGCAGGCGCAAGTCCTGCACAAATGGATGGTCGAGAGACATGTTCCTTCAAAAGCAACAAACCAAAGGTGGAGCCAAGAAAAACTCGTCAGGACCAACAGCGTGGGTTCATCACGTCCCCCACACTTAAGGACCACCTAGGCGAACAGTTCTAAGCACAGCCGGCAGAATCGCAAACAATGCCGGAAACAAGGCAGGAAACACATAACCAACCACAATCAGTACACGGGCAGCACATACCCAGTATATAGAACCATGCATACTCCAAGCATCCCTCACCCTATTCTAAAGCATGCAAGCAATTATAGTTCTCGGTTCTACAATCTACAGTTCGATTCTCCAGGGAAGAACAGTTAACAAGAAACACACCTGGAAACACAAGGAGAACTGTAGCTAAGGCACAAGGAGGGGTGAGGGACGAGAGAAAGAAGCCAAAAATGACCCGGGAGGCTCGCCGGGAAGTGGCTGGAAAACCGCCGGAGAGTGGCCGGAAAACCGCCGGAAAGTGACCGGCGGCGGCGGCCGGCAGCGAGGGGCGGCGGCCGGCAGCGAGGGGCGGCGGCGCGGCGGCCGGCGGCTCACGGAAGAGAGAGGGGAGAGGATTTGAGAGGAAGAGAGAGGGGAAATTTTGAAAAAATGAGGGTAGAGAGAGAATGGCCGGGGGTTTGCCATATATAGCAAAAATACCCGGTCGGGTATTTTGATGACACGACCGGGGTTTTTTCAAAACGCAGCGTGTCTAGGTGCATGGGGATCCCCGACCTTGAGCCAAAAATACCCGGCCGGGTATTTTTGGGTCAAGGTCGGGGGTCTGAAACGCAGCGTTCTGATCTGAGGGGAATCCCCGGCCGTGAATCAAAATTACCCGGTCGGGTATTTTTGAGACCAGGTCGGGTTTTTCCTTTTTTCACCCTGGGAAACAGAAGGGGGCCCGACCGTGAGCCAATAATACCCGATCGGGTATTTTGGCCCATGGCCGGGTATTTGCCCCCTTCCGGCCAAAAAACTCATTCGCCCAAATTTTCGACCTCTCCTGCACGACAGCACCAAATCGAGGCATAACAGACGACCGAACTTCACCACAGACATGCAACTGACTCAAGACGACACAAAAACTCAGAAAAAAAGGGAAAAAGAAATGCAAACGGTGGTGGGGTTGCCTCTCCACAAGCGCTTCTTTACCGTCTTTTAGCTGGACGCCAATTGCGGAACTAAGGGTCCGCGAGCTCCACTGCTAACTCCGCACGTTTGACCTCGTCTCCCAGGTAGAGCTTGAGACGATGGCCATTCACTTTAAACGGCTCAGTTTGCGGGTTAGCAATCTCAATCGTGCCATACGGGAACACCTGTGTGACCGTGTACGGTCCAGACCACCGGGAACGGAGTTTTCCAGGAAAGAGTTTCAGGCGAGAGTTATAAAGGAGAACTCGATCACCAACCTGGAACTCTTTCGGACCCCGCAACCGTGCATCGTGGAGGCGCTTCGTGCGCTCCTTGTACAGCTTGGTGTTCTCATAGGCGTGGTAACGCCACTCTTCCAGCTCCAACATCTGCATTTTTCGCTCATCACCTGCAACACTAACATCCAAGTTTAGCAGCTTAAGGGCCCAGAAGGCCTTATGCTCTAGCTCCACGGGAAAATGGCATGCCTTTCCATAGACAAGCCGGTACGGTGAGGTACCAATGGGCGTCTTGTAGGCAGTGCGATATGCCCACAGAGCATCATCGAGCTTGGTGGACCAATCCTTGCGGGATAGGTTCACTGTCTTCTCCAAGATCCGTTTGAGCTCCTGGTTCGTCAGCTCGGCCTGGCCACTGGTTTGAGGATGATAGGCTACAGACACCTTATGAGTCACACCATAGCGAGACAACAATTTATCGAACTGACCCTGGAAATGGGTGCCTCGGTCGCATATGATGGCTCTAGGTGTCCCGAACCGGGAGAATAGCTGCTTCAAAAAACCACAAACACGTCGAGCATCATTAGTGGGCAAAGCTTGCGCCTCAGCCCACCTAGAGACGTAGTCAAAAGCAACAAGAATATATGTATTGCCAAAGGATGGAGGGAAGGGGCCCATGAAGTCGATACCCCAGACATCAAAAATCTCACAAGTAATAAACACATTCTGGGCATCTCATCACGGGCAGAGATGTTAACCTGACCTCTGGCATCGGTCGCACCGGCGTGCGAAGGCGTCTGAGTCCTTGAAGAGCGTGGGCCAGTAGAAGCCCGACTGGAGCACCTTCCTCGCCGTGCGGTTTCCTCCATGGTGACCGCCAGCAGGTCCTTCATGACAGTGAGATAGAATGCCCTCCATCTCACTCTCCATAACACATCGACGGATGATCCCGTCAGCTCCGATCCTGAAGAGATGGGGGTCATCCCAGAAGTAGTGCTTCAGGTCGGAGAAGAACTTCCTCTTGGCGTGAGTGGTCATCCCCTTGGGCAGCTGCTGGCCCACAAGATAACTCGCAAAATCAGAATACCAGGGGGTGACACTCTCCACCAGGCACATCATCATCAGCCTCTCATCTGGAAAGGAGTCATTGATCTCCTCCTCGAGGTTGTCCGCAGGGGGTGCGTCCAACCGGGAAAGGTGATCGGCAGCAACATTCTCTGCTCCCTTCTTGTCCCGAATCTCAATATCAAACTCCTGTAGCAGTAAAATCCATCGTATGAGCCTAGGCTTGGCATCAGCCTTGCTCATCAAGTATCGAATCGCGGAGTGATCAGTATACACAATCACATGGGACAAGACCAGATAAGGACGAAATTTATCGAAGGCAAACACCACCGCGAGCAGCTCTTTCTCCGTGGTGGTGTAGTTCTCCTGGGCATCATTCAAGGTCTTCGAGGCGTAGTAGATAGGTCGGAAATTCTGATCACGCCTCTGCCCCAACACAGCTCCAACAGCAAAGTCACTGGCATCGCACATAATCTCAAATGGTAAGGACCAGTCAGGAACAACCATGATAGGAGCTTGTGTGAGCTTCTCCTTCAAGGTCATAAAAGCTGCTGTGCATGCATCAGTGAACTGGAAGGGGGCATCCTTCTCTAGAAGCTTCGTCAGGGGCAGAGCAATCTTGGAGAAATCCTTGATGAACCGCCTGTAGAAACCTGCATGACCAAGAAAACTCCGGATCCCCTTCACAGATGTAGGAGGAGGTAGTTTGCTGATAGTCTCGATCTTCGCTCTGTCCACCTCAATCCCCATCTTGGAGATCCTATGCCCAAGAACTATGCCTTCTCGAACCATGAAGTGACACTTCTCCCAACTCAGTGCCAGGTTCGTTTCTTCACACCGTTTAAGGACAAGTTCCAGGTTATGGAGACAGTGAGAGAATGAGTCTCCATAAACCGAGAAATCGTCAATAAACACCTCCATGATCTCGCCGACCAGACGGTCAAAGATAGCGAGCATGCATCGCTGAAAAGTAGCTGGGGCATTGCATAGCCTGAATGGGATCCTCTGCTATGCAAAGGATCCTCCAGCTCTGGTGGTTCCTCCAAGGAAGTAGCGATGCGGGTGGAGGATGAGATCGGTTTAAACAGCCTGTCGCCCTCGAAGAAGGGGCCACTCTCCAACTCGGCCAACTGCTCCGCCAGCTGCGGCTCCTGCGATGCCTGCTCACCTAGCAAAATACAACGCTCAAGAACATCGTCAGTACCTGCACTCGTGATAGCGAGTGCGGTCTCATAATCAGCAAGCATATCACAGTAATCTATGTCATCATGCAAATGAGGGTGTTTCCCATTCTCAGACACAGAAAAAGTAGCCTGTTCATCACCAGCACGCAGAATCAATTTACCACTATGCACATCAATAAGCGCCTTGGCGGTGGCGAGAAACGGTCTACCTAAAATCAAAGGTACATCCACATCCTCATTTATATCCAAAATAACAAAGTCAACAGGATATGTGAATGCACCCACATTAACAAGCAAGTCCTCAATGATACCCCTAGGATGCACGATAGAACGATCAGCTAACTGAATGCTCATCCTAGTAGTTCTAGGTTCACCTAGGCCTAGCTTCTTAAATAATTTATAAGGCATGACATTGATGCTAGCGCCTAGGTCCGCCAAGGACTTCCCTACATGCATGCACAAGAGGGATAGTGAAACTCCCTGGGTCTTTTCGCTTCTCGGGCAGCTTGTTCTGCAGGATGGCAGAACACTCCTCGCTCAGCATCACTATCGAAAGATCCCCAAGTTTCTTCTTGTTGGTGAGGAGGTCCTTCATGAACTTGGCATACTTGGGCATCTTCGACAGTGCCTCCACGAACGGCATGCTGATGTTGACCTGCTTCAACATTGCCATGAACTTGGCAAACTCAGTCTCCAGCCTGTCTTTATGCAGGCGAGTGGGGAAAGGAAGCTGAGGTACATGCTCCTTAACCACTGGCTGTGGCTTGGGAGCAGGCGTTGTTGTGCCTTCCCCCACGTCTACAGTATCAGCTGGAAGTGTTGAAGCAGGTAGTGGATCATCTCGACTGGGCTGGGCAGGAGCAGCAGATGTGGTCTTGCCACTCCTGGTAGTGATGGCATCAAGCTGCTGGAGCTGGTGAGGATCCCGAGGATTCGGGAGAGTGGTGGCAGGCAAAGTCCCCGGTGCCCTGGTGGTGTTCTGGCGGGCCAAGATGCCCACCTGGGTCTGCAGATCCTGCAAAATGGCACCCTGGTTCCTCTGACCTGCCTCTAGTGACGCTACACTCTGGTCCAACCTCGTGATAGTCGCCTGAGTGCTCGTCATGAATGAAGCCATAATATTTTCCAGCTTCGTCATCTCAGTATCTAGAGCTGGAGCTGCTGCTGGCTCGGCAAACTGGCGCTGGGGCTGCTGGAAGGGTTGCCCTTGCCTAGGCTGGTAGGGCTGCTGCTGTGGAACTGGCCCTTGTCGAGGCTGGTAGGGCTGCTGCTGTGGAACCGGCCCCTGCCGAGCCTGGTAGGGCTGCCTCTGCTGAAAGCCACCTGCTGGTACTGGGAAACCAGGTGGCTTAGTGGTGTTGCTGCCCCAAGAGAAGTTGGGATGCTGGCGCCACCCCTCATTATATGTGGTGCTGTATGGGTCGAGGCGCCGAGCATTGGCGATGAAGTCCAACTGCTCTTGGGGGGTAGTAGACTCCCTCATAGCCTGGCAGTCTTCTACTAAGTGGCTCGAGCTCTCACACCACTGAAACTGAGCAACTGGAGGTGTAGCCATACCTCTGCCCGGAATAAGACTGTTGGGCTGCTTCAATGTCTGCACCAGCTCAGCTACCTGCTGCTCGAGTCCGGATCTAGACTCCATGGCGTGCACACCACGGTCCCTGGAATGTCTGCCTCTGCTGCTCTGCCCTCAGGAATGATCTCTGGCAGCCAATGTATTAATCATCTGGTTCAGCTCGGGTGGAGTCTTAGTGAGAACATCCCCTCCTGGGCATAAAGACTCAATCACCCTCTGGCTATCTGGGGAGAGAGCGCTGTAGAAGTTCACCACAGTGAAAGCATCACTAAAGCCATGATGGGGACACTGCCAGAAGTATGCCATGTACCGCTCCCAAGCATCACGAAGTGACTCATCTGGATCTTGGCGGAAATGAGTGATCTCCCGCTGAATCTCTATAGTCTTCGATGCCGGATAGTACCTGTGCACGAACTTG